CCACTCCCGGCCACCGCAGCCTCTACCTGCTGGGCTCCAGCGATCCTTCTGCCTCAGCCTTCCAAGTAGCGGGAATTACAGGCGCGTGCTACCACGCCCGGCTGATTTTTGATTTATTATAGAGATGAGGTCTCGCCAAGTTGCCCAGGCAGGTCTCAAACCCGCCGGCTCAGGCAGTCCACTCACCTCAGCCTCCCAAAGCGCTGGGATTACAGGCTGAGCCACCAAGCCCGGCTCTTATTTTTTTTAAAGACAAGAGTCTTGCTCTGTTGCCCAGGCTGCTGTGCAGTGGTGCAATCATAGCTCACTGCAACTTTGAACTCCTGGGCTCAAGCGTTTGTCTTGCCTCAGCCTCCCAAGTGACTGGGCCACATCACCTAGTTAATTTTTAAATTTTTTGTAGAGACACAGCCTCACTATGTTGCCCAGGCTAGTCTTGAACTTCTGGTCTCAAGTGATCCACCCGCCTCAGGTGCTGGGATTACAGGCATGAGCTACCATGTCTACCCTACCTCCTTGCCATGTATGAAATTGTCAGACTTCTTAATTCTTCCAAGCTCATGGGTATGAAATGGAATTTCATTTTGCAATTTTAGGCCACAGCTAAAATTGCTAGTTATCTTCTTGAGCATCTTTTCATATTATTGGCCATTTATAGTTCCTATTCTTTGACTTTCCTATTTATCCTTTTTGCTGTTTTTCTTTTCTTTTCTTTTTTGAGTAGGAGTCTCACTCTTTTGCCCAGACTGGCGTGCAATGGTACACTCACAGCCGCAGCCTCAACTTGCTGGGCTCAGGTGATCCTTTTGCCTCAGCCTTCCAAGCAGCTTGAAGCAGAGGCACACACCACTGGCTAATTTTTTTGTTTATTGGAGAGGTGAGGTCTCCCTACATTGCCCAGACTGGTCTCAAACTCCTGGGCTCAAGCAATCCTCTCACCTCTGCCTGCCAAAGTGCTGGGATTACACACGTGAGCCATCGAGCCAGGCTCTTTTACCATTTTTCAGCTGGGTTGTTAACCCTTTTTTAAAAATTGATGTATGGGAGTTTTTGTTTATTTTGTTTGTTTGTTTGCTTGGTATATTCTGGATACTAATCCTTTAATTATATGTGCTGTAAATATCTTTTTCCAGTTTGTTACGGCTTGGTTTTCTCACTTTTTGTGGTGTCTTTTGTCTTCATAGATTCTTTTTGTTTTGTTTTGTTTTGTTTTGTTTTTTGAGTTGGAGTCTCACTCAGTCATCCAGACTGGAGTGCAGTGGCCGCTCCCGGCCACCGCAGCCTCGCCTGCTGGGCTCCGGCGATCCTTCCATCTCAGCCTTCCGAGTAGCCAGAATGACAGGCGTGCGCTACCACGCCCGGCTGATTTTTTGATTTATTGTAGAGAGGAGGTCTCGCTGCCCAGGCAGGTCTCGAACCCGTGGGCTCAGGCAATCCACTCACCTCAGCCTCCCAAAGGCTTGGGATTACAGGCTGAGCCACCGAGCCTGGCTCATACATTCTTCATACTAGTAAGTGTAAGCAATTTATTGGTCCCTCAGAATGTGATCACTTGTTCATTCTGTTTAGAAAGTTTTATTAAGCTCCTTCTGTGCACAGGATTTTATGCCGGGTGTTAGGGATCCAGAGATACAGGAGACTTGTCCTTTCCCTAAAGTGATTTACAAAAGTTGCAAGTATAGATAAAGTGCCAACCAATGTATAAGGACACAGGGAACAATGGGAGTTGCAGATACTGTTTGCCTGATGAGACCAGTAGGAATTCCAGAGGGGTAAGTAATTGCCAGTGTGTGGCCATCTAGGGAAGGCTGTAAGGAGGTGGTGAAACTGAGCTTGGGTCTTGAAGGAAGAACAGGCCCACATTTGCTGTTTCTACTACTCATTTAGCAATTAGTTACAGACTATTAAAAAGAATTGCGGGCCAGGCTCGGTGCCTCAGGCTGTAATCCCACGCCTTTGGGAGGCTGAGGTGAGTGGATTGCCTGAGCCCGTGGGTTCGAGACCCGCCTGGACAGGTCCAGACCTCATCTCTACAATAGATCAAAAAAATTAGCCGAGCGTGCTAGCGCACGCCTGTAGTTCCAGCTACTTGGAAGGCTGAGGCGGAAGGATCGCTGGAGCCCAGCAGGTCGAGGCTGTGGTGGCTGGGAGCGGCCACTGCACTCCAGTCTGGGCGACAGTGAGACTCCAACTCAAAAAAAAAAAAAGAAGGAATTGCGGCAGGCGTGGTGACTAATCCTGTAATCCCAGCACTTTGGGAGGCTGAGGCGAGAGGATTGCTTGAGACCAGGGGTTCGAGACCAGCCTGGGCAACTTTGTGAGACCTCGTCTCTATAATAAATCATACACACACACACACACACATACACACACAAACTAGTCAGGCGTGATGGTGTGCATTTGTAGTTCCAGCTGCTTGGAAGGCTGAGGTAGAAGGATCGCCTGAGCCCAGCCTGGACGACAAGAATGAGACTATAACTCAACATAAAGACTACGTTGCTACCAAAAATGGAATTAAATTTAAAAAAACAATTTTTTGTTTTTGTTTTTGAGTCAGAGTCTCACCCTGTCACCCAGGATGGAGGGCAATGGCATGCTCACGGCCACCGCAGCCTTGACCTGCTGGACTCAAGCACTCCTTCCACCTCAGCCTTCCAAGTAACTGGAAACACAGGCGTGTGCCACCATGCCCAGCTAATTTTTTTTATTTATTGCAGAGTCATGGTCTCACTAAGTTGCCTACCCTGGCTTCAGATTCATCTCCCAAAGTGCTGGGATTACAGGTGTGAGCCACCATACCTGGCCTGGTATTTTTCCTAAAGTTTCCACAGACACAGAATACTGAACCACTGCTCATAAGAGAAACACAGGGCGGGTGTTTGTGAGCCTCTGGTCATAATATTTTCATTAATCAACCAATGCATAATGTGTTTTATGTGAGTTTCTGTTTGTGACACCTTGTTTTTTATTTTTATTTTTTGAGTTGGAGTATTGCTTTGTTGCCCAGACTGGAGTGCAGTGGGATGCTTCCGGCCACCGCAGCCTCAATCTGCTGGGCTCTGGCGATCCTTCCGCCTCAGCCTTCCAAGTAGCTGGAACGACAGGAGCGCGCTACCATGCCCGGCTAATTTTTTGATTTACTGTAGAGATGAGGCCTCGCCAAGTTGCCCAGGCGGGTCTCGAACCCACGGGCTCAGGCAATCCACTTACCTCGGCCTCCCAAAGCGCGGATTACAGGCTGAGCCACCGAGCCCGGCCGTGACACCTTATTAACACATTTTGTAGATTCATTAGTATTGGACTCAAAACCCATAGCACTGCAACTCATGCCCGAATGAAGCTCATCGCACATATGCATTTTCTCTGTAAGGCCGGTCACAGTCTTCTTACATCTAGATAACACTAAAGCGTGGGGGCCACTTTAAATAGTAAAACTGTAGGCCGGGCTTGGTGGCTCAGCCTGTAATCCCAGCACTTTGGGAGGCCGAGGTGAGTAGATTGCCTGAGCCTGCGGGTTCGAGACCCGCCTGGGCGACTTGATGAGACCTCATCTCTACAATAAGTCAAAAATTAACCGGGTGTGGTAGCGCACACCTGTAGTTCCAGCTACTTGGAAGGCTGAGACAGAAGGATCGCCGGAGTCCAGCAGGTCAAGGCTGCAGTGGCCAGGAGCAGCCACTGCACTCCAGTCTGGGTGACAGAGTGAGACTCCAACTCAAAAAAAAAAAATAGTAAAACCGCTAACAAAAAGTACAAAGGTGGGAAAACATGGTGAAAAGGACACCTGTTTACAGGATGAGAGCTAAAACAAGAAGGCAGATTGTTGCCGTGCTAGACTTTAGCTGGGAAGGCGCGTGCCAGGCCACTCAGTGTTCACTTCTCACACGTGGTCACGAATCTATGACAGTGCCGCGAGTGGTGACTCTGTGTTACAAGGAAAAACGGAGGCAAGTTTACCATCACGAGATCTGTGTGGATCAGCTGTCTGTCCCCGTTCATCTAGTCCCCAGAGGAGATATTTGCTAACATTTTTCTGTGTTTCTTTCCAGTCTCTTTTTCTGTACATATTTTTACATAAATTGAGATCATGCTGTAGATGCGATCTTAGTGTTTTTTAACTTTACTTTGTGTTATTGCCCATTAGGCAAACTTCTTAGCCTCAGTGAAGCGGCCTTCTCGGAGTTGTGACACTTCCTTATTGTGTTTGGATGTCAGGCACTTCCAGCTGGCAGCTCTGTGACCCCATACCTTTCCCTTTCAGCAGCAGCAGGCGTTCTCTGGTCATTTCCCCTCCAGTTCGCACATCCACGGTGTCCAGCCCTGTCACCTCACCAACCAGCCCCTCTGCGCTTTCCTTGAAGAGTGAGAGTGGGGCTCTCTCAGCAGCTGAAGAAGAGCTAGCACCTGAGGCAGCCCACGAAGAAGACACTCCTGAGGTCGAAGAAAAGCCTTTAGAAGACAAGGAAGTAGAGAAGAAAGGGTCTGAGGCAAGTTCCTCTGAAGAGGAAGAGCCTCTGCCAACCTGCAATGGCCCAGCCCAGGCCTCTCCCGCCATTGAGGATGGCAAGTCCCAGGAGGAAGTTTTCCCTTGCTCTCCGACTCCATCACCAAACAAAGCCTCGGTTCCCTCGGAGCTGCCATCATCTCACCCAGAAGTAGTCCTCCGAAGCCGCACCACCAGTGAGGGGTCTGAACAAGCAAAGAAGAATCCCTCTGTCCAGAGGACCTCAGCACCCCCCAGCAGGCCACCTCCACCCAGAGCCACGCCCAGCCCCAGGCCCACCTCAGGGAGCATGCCCCCTAGCCCTCCAGCCTCTGGAGGGGGGTCGCCTTCCAGCCCCAGGGCCTTCTCGGGGACCGGGACGCCAAGTCCTAGGGCCTCTTTAGAGGTCCCTCCTAATCCAGAGCCACCAGAGAAGCCAGTCAGAACTCCTGAAGCCAGAGAAGAGGAAAACACCCACAATCTGAGCTCAGAACTTTGCACCTCCCCCACCTCAGCCACCCCTCAGGTAAGAACAGGTCTTGCTGGGTCTTTATTCCCTTTTATAACCTCCATAGAGATAGCTCTACCACAGTCAGTTATCCCATGGTTGATAAGAAGTCATAGTCTCAGGAATACTCTTGGATGCCTTTTTTGGTTCTAGGGATTTGTTTCATGTCTTCATAGCAACTAATTAGTAATCTATACTTGGAGGAATTGATTTCTGCAAAGGGGTTTTCTTTTTTAATTTTTAATTTTATTTATTTATTTGTCTTTAGAGACAGAGTCTCACTATGTTGGCAAACTCCTGGGCTCAAGCAATCCTCCTGCCTCAGTCTCCTGAAGTGCTGGGATTACAGGCATGAGCCACCATGCCCGGGCCTATCCTCTAATATCATTATGAGCAGATTCTTACTAATTTCTTTTTCTCCAAATTCTAGGAGTTCCCAGTACAAAGAACCAACACCTGGTATCCTGTGCTTTACCTTTTTTAATAGTGGCGGGAGGGTGGGTCTCACTTCGGTTTCTATGGTAAATAGACCCTGAAAAGCATGACAGCACATTTCAAGGGTATATGTTCTTTAATGAGAAAGACCTAGAAGCAGGAACTCACAGAGAGAAGTAAAGCAAAGGGACCTTTGAAAGATGAAAATATAGATGAAGCCGGGCTCGGTGGCTCAGCCTGTAATCCCAGCACTTTGGGAGGCTGAGGTGAGTGGATTGCCTGAGCCTGCGGGTTCGAGACTCGCCTGGGCAACTTGGCAAGACCTTATCTCTACAGTAAATCAAAAATTATCAGGGCACGGTAGCGCGCGCCTGTAGTTCCAGCTGCTCGGAAGGCTGAGGCGGAAGGATCGCCAGAGCCCAGCAGGTTGAGGCTGCAGTGGCCGGGAGCGAGCCACTGCACTCCAGTCTGGGTGACAGAGTGAGACTCCAACTCAAAAAAAGATATATATATAGATAGATAGATAGATAGATAGATAGATAGATAGATAGATGAGAAAAAACTAAGAGACGCTGATCCATCGGAGAGCAACTAGTCCTGTGAAGGCTCTCTAAATCGAGTCGTGGCCAGGTCGAATTCTAGGAAAGGATATCATTAGTTTTTTTTTTTAGTCAGAGTCCCACTCTGTTGCTCAGGTTGGAGTGCAGTGGTATGCTCACGGCCATCGCAGCCTCGACCTGCTGGGCTCCAGTGATCCTTCTGCCTCAGCTAAATCAAAAATTAGCTACCACATCTGGCTAATTTTTGATTTATTGTAGAGATGAGGTCTTGCCAAGTTGCCTGGGTGGGTCTCGAACCCGCGGGCTCAGGTAATCCATTCACCTCAGCTTCCCAAAGTTCTGGGATTGCAGGCTGAGCCACTGAGCCTGGTCAGAAAGCATATCATTTAGAGGAAGGATCTGACTTTTTCTATAAGCCTCCAGAGAGCAGGACTAGGCCCTATGTATAAAGGTTTGTTTTTATGATACATTTTGGATCAATACAAGAGGAACTTTCAACAATTAGCTCTGTTTAGAAAATAGAATGGAAATGCTGGGTGCTCACGCCTATAATCCCACCACCTTGGTTTGTTTTTTGTTTTTGAGTTATAGCCTCACTCTGTCACCCAGACTAGAGTGCAGTGGCTGCTCCTGGCCACCATAGCCTTGACCTGCTGGGATCCAGCGATCCTTCCACCTCAGTCTTCCAAGTAGCTGAAACTACAGGCACGCGCTACCACACCCGGCTAATTTTTTGATTTATTGTAGAGATGAGGTCTCACCAAATTGCCCAAGCGGGTCTCGAACCTGCGGGCTCAGGCAATCAACTCACCTCAGCCTCCCAAGGCACAGGATTACAGGCTGAGCCACCGAGCCTGGCAATCCCACCACTTTGGGAGGCCGAGGCAAGAGGGTTACTTGAGCCCAGGAGTTCGAGACCAGCCTGGGCAACTTGGTGAGACCTCATCCCTACAATAAATCAAAAAAATTAGCCAGGTGTGGTGGTGCACACCTGTAGTTTCAGCTACTTGGAAGGCTGAGGTGAAAGAATCACCTGAGCCCCATAGGTCGAGGCTCTGGTGGCCATGAGCGGGCCACTGTACTCCAGCCTGGGCAACAGAGTGAGACTCCAGCTCCCCAAAAAAAGGACAATAGAATGGAAAAAAATTAAGGAAAAAAATGGGGGAAGGAGCCACAGGGGCAGACAGAAAACACAAAGGCAAGGGCTCCCTTGAGACACACTTCTCTTTCTGGGATGTTAAGAGCTAAGGGCATAGGGCCTCCATTTGGTCAAGTGCATGGTAGAGAGGACTATGGTGGGATGTCTGACAGGTGGCACCAGGAATAATGTATTCACTCCACAGTTACTTATTAAGCCTCTGGCAGTGTACCAGGCACTTTCCTAGGAGGTGGGGCATAACAGTGAACAAAACCAAACCTTCTGCCTTCTGGAAATTTTCCTCTAGGGCAGGAAGTCAGACCAGGAAAAGAATATATTAAAGCCCAATCTAGCAGTGGCAAGTAATATGAAGGAAATAAGCAAGGGATGGCCCGAGAGTGGGGGCTGAACTGCAGGTTTATGAAGAGGGTCAGTGGCGACACATGGGACAGTGACAAAGTCCAGGACACGAGCTGTATGGCCACCAGGGAGAAGGGGGTGAGATTTCCCAGGCCACACCACCCACTCCTCCCATGTCTGACCAAAGGTTGAAGAGACAACTTGCCACCCGAGGGGTAACACGGACAAGGGCACAAGGGTGGCCTCCAGGTACAGAGGCGTGGGACATTCTCTGACCTTGTTTGCTTTGATTCACAGGTTGTTTCAGAGCCTAGAGAGGTAAAGAAAACGGAAGACAAGGAAGAGAACGATATGCTTACCTCAGCTGACTCCCCTGAGGTACTAAAATCCAAGTCATCAGCATTATGATCCCCTGGGGCTTTCTTTTATACATTGAAACAATTTCTTTTTCTTTTTCCTGAGGTATATCTTTCAGATACTCTCAGTCTTGATTCACATGAAGTGCTGAAGGTTCTAACTGAGCAAGAGCAAGATATAAAACTTTTCCTATAGGCCATGGTACGTGCCTATAGTCCCAGCTACTCAGGAGGCTGAGGCAGGAGGATCACTTGAGCCCTGTGAATATCTACTGCACTCCAGCCTGGGCAACATAGCAAGACCTCAAAAAAAAAAATTTTTTTTTTTTGAGTTGGAGTCCCACTCCAAAGAACTTCTTGACTGATTTCTAATCTGAGGCAGCTATGCTGGTTGAGAGAGATATGCAGGACTTGCAGGCCATAACTGAGCATAGGATCAATGCAGGGTTTTGAGCAGGTAAAATATAGCCACTTCTCATTTTTATGCCCTGAAAAGAGCAGCTCAGTGGAATGGAAAATCCAAAATTAATTTCAGTTTGACTTTGTAATGTATTCGATGATTTTAGGTGGAGACAGTCAAAAAGTGACTTTCTGTTTAGCTCTGGGGAATGAGAGCGCATCCTTGGAATATCTTACTGAAGGCGAGAGATTATGGGGGCCAGGATTCTATCTGACCCTTTGAAAGAAAAGCTGGTAACACTGTCCTCCCTGGGAAAGAGGCAGGACACAGCCCAACCTCCTTCCTCTGAATCTGTCTCCTTTTATTTGAAATGTATAATGTTTCCTTACTCCTGGCCTCTTCCATGGTCATCAGCTAAGGAGACACATTTTTCTTGAAGAATTAAGCACCTAGAGTGTCTTAGGCCCTAGCCTGCCAATGCTACAATCCTCTGAAGGCTGTGTCCTATAAAATACACTCACTTCCCTTGCAGAACTGTCGTAAATCATGTTTCCTCTCAAGCAGAATTATGAACAGTTTACATGTAAAAATAGGTAAATACAAATGTAACCTGGAAAAAAATGCATTCTTCACTGGGCACTGTGGCTCATACCTGTAATCCCAGCACTTTGGGAGGATGAGGCAGGAAGATTGCTTGAGCTTAGGAATTCAAGACCAGCCCTGGGCAATATAATGAGACCTCGTCTCTACAAAAAAATAAAAAAGTTAGCTGAGCATGGTGGCATGCGCCTATAGTCCTAGCTACTTGGGAAGTTGAGGTGGGAGGATCACTTGAGCCCAGGAGTTCGAGGCTGCAGAGAACTGTGAACATGCTGCTGCACTCCAGTCTGGGTGACAGGATGAGATCACAACTCAAAAAAAAAAAAAAAAAGTTCTTGCTCAGCATTTGACTCATCTGAGAGAGAAGGAAGATTTAAAGAACTTTTTGGGAGGTGATGTCACCCTTCAGCTAACTCAGGGCCTGGGAAGGTAGGAGTGAGTAAGAAGAAACATTTCCTTAAAGGGGAAATCTTGGAATTTCAAGTGGCTCTCACACTGTTAGAAACTGGTTCTTATATCTATACATATATATATAATTTTTTAAAAAGATGACATCTCTTAAGCCGGGCGTGGTAGCGTGTGCCTGTAGTTTTAGCTACTTGGAAGGCTGAGGCAGAAGGATTGTCTGAGTCCAGCGGGTTGAGGCTGCGGTGGCCGTGAGTATGCCACTGCACTCTAGCCTGGGCGATAGAGTGAGACTTCAACTCAAAAAAAAAAAAAGCCGGGCTTGG